CCGGCCGCAGCGCGCCGCGGCCCCTCGGCTCCGTGCCTGCTGTCCGCTCGCCATCCCTCTCCGGCACGGAGCTTGTCTGTGCAACTTGGTCTCGGCGGCGCTCTGTACGTGTGCCTCCCGCTTCTCTCAAGATCCCAGACGCGCTCAAGAAGGAACTGCGAAGTACTCGAATGAAGAGCAGTAACCGGACTGCTTTTTGCTGGCGTCCTCATCCGAGCCTGGGTCTCCTCTTGGGGTGCGTGCTCAGAGCTGATTGTTCAGTTGCTGTCAGGCTTCCAAACTCTGTTTATTACTTGTTAAAATACACGAAGGAAAAGAAGAAAACCCAACAACAAAACAACTCTCGTTGATTTAGAATACAGTATCATAAAAAGAAAATGTGTCTGTGGATCAGCTATTTCTCAGGCAAATGTCCCAATTAAAAAATGGAAGCGCTCAGAAGTCAAGTCAGTAAAGTCATTACAGTGAGTTACAGTCACAAGCAGAGTTTCATTTGTGCAGTAAGTAATGTGAGGGAGCTGTGTTTTAATAAATTGGAGGTGCCTTTCTAAAATCTTAGCCTTATTTTTCTGAAATTCCATTAAAAGTCGCAATTTTATTCAGGCACAACTTCATTCAATCGCTGGGATGGCATGGGAAGTATATTTTATGATCCACAGAGAATTTCCCTTATATTTTTAATGGTTTCATTCTGTACCAGAATGCAAAGTCGGATGCATGAAGATTTCTATGGAACAAATTATTTAGAAACATTCACTTTTTGAATAACTAAACCGGACCAATTTTTAAATGGGTGCTAGTATCTAGCTTCCTAGCTAACTCCCTGTCTGGCCAGACTGTTAGAGGCTTAAGTGGTTGGGCCCTGCCAGCTGCTGGATCCCTGCTAGGAAAACCCACCCCGCATGGTTTCCACTAGGAAGTTTCAGTAAAATTCATGCGATCCTGAAGAATACTGAAACTGCATCAAATTGATATTTCCTGTTGGAATTTTTTTCGTCAGAGCATTTTCTGCCATTCCTACTTATCATATCATGATTTAAAGCCTGTGACAGTCCTCTGTCAGGTCCATGACAAATTGCTTGAAGAGCAACACCTTTGCCTTTCTCTGTAGTCTTTACTGGGAGCCTAAATCCTGCCAGCCTGAATCCTGCCAGCACGCAGAGCCCCGTTCCCCGGCCAGGTGGAGTCAGTCCCCACCAATCATAAAAGCTTTTATTGTAATAACTATTCAACACCATTTAATCAAATAGTCTAATAATCACTTACGCTTTGCTTTTCCACCCAAAAGCTCAGCACGCTTCATTCAGTAAGTAAGCATCATTATTTCTTTTCACATATGGCCTTAAGGCACGTAGCACTGCAGAGAGTTTTATGGCCACCTTGCCTGAGTCCCCGCGTAGTGCTTCACCTACCAGGCCGCGTGAAGGCAGAGAAAGGCAATCATGACGGACTTACCTGAGGAAGTAAATCCAGCAGCCACTCCGCTAGGCAGCATAAGTCTTTCAGTCAAATCCCAAGAGTGGGTTAGGTGGGTCCTCTGCTAGTGAAACAATTCCACAACTTTGTGGCCTCTGCAGCAGAATTGATTAGAAAACTCCTAATGGATAAAGAGAATCAAAACAGAAGTAATTTTTATATCAAATTACTAGTGACAAATCATATTTGAAAAACTTTTACGTAAGTTTTCATTAAAATTGATGTTTAAAAATTTCTTCTGAAATTGCAGCATTGTGAAAATTTATAAAGGCTTGGAATGTAAAAATACCCAGTTCATGTTAAGTGAGTTTTGTTTCTTAGATATAAAAAATAAGTAATAAAAATGAAAAGGAAAGGCAAATGCATTTAAACTTAGTTCTATTTTAATAAATCTAAGGTTGTTATTGTAGTAATAGCATTGCTGAAGTGAAGACAGTTTTATCTTGAACATGTCCCTCTATTTATAACATTAAACCTTCAGTTCTACTGTATTTACTACCGACCAAATTTTATTTTATATGTAGCAGCTGAACACTGAAGCGCTGATATCTTTGTATTCAATTAAAGTAAGGAATTAGGAACACAAGCGTGTTTTTCACAGTCTTAAAGTAGTAACAAGACTTTTTATGCTCTCCTCTTCTACTAAAATGATAATGGGGGACTATTGTGCTTTACACTGACTAGCAAGTACTCTGTGCAAATAATTTTGCTCTTAGGATCATAACAACACTTGAAGTCATTTATTGATTCAATCCTGCCAGCAGAATGGACTTCTACAACATGGAAGCTATTGCCTGTCTGCACTCATATCCCAAAATAGGTGATGAATGGCAGGAATATCACAGGGAGAAGCTCCCTTTGCAGTTGCTCATCCTGCAGCGTCGTCCACACCAGCGATTCCCAGTGAAATCAGAGAAACTATTCAAGTGCTTGAAGTAAAGGCTGTGTTTTGCTGATGCCCATATTATCTTGCTGTAACTGTCACTCAGGTTAAGCTGCGTGGCAGATACGTAACAGTATTTTACATCTAGGCAAACCAAAATTGGTTGTTTTAATGGAGAAATCCTATGGTATTTACGTAGCTTTCCACTTCCAAATCAGATTTTAGTAGAGAAGATTCTCTCTGCTGTAGGATAAGCCAAAACACAGGAGCATTTGTTTTGGCAACAGGACTCTTCATCACTTTATCCATGTGACTTCATGCCTAAGCCATCCCTGAGGAGATGGTGGGCAGGGAGAAGCTTTGAAGTCCCTCCCCTCCCCTTCCTGGCTCCTGAGCACCTTTCCAGGGAAGCCAGAAGGAGTCTGAAGGGGCCATTGGATGAAACCAGCAGAATTCCTCCTGAAGGGACAGTCATCTTTGTCGTCATTTAGTCCCATTCTCATATTCCACTGTTAGCCCCAAATCCTCCTTTGATATGAAATGTGGGAGCACTGCTGACCTCAGGAAGTGAAGGCGATTAACAGTGGATGAATATCTGGTGCTTTAAGCAGACACTGAGACTTACGGGACTGGTAATGGCAGACTGCTTTTGCCATTGCTGGACCATGTTTTATAGCAACTCATGAAATCCCCTAAGCGATTCCAGCTCTGTGTAGCTGATGACATTTAAGAACATTTCTCCCTGTAATTTTTTTAAATGACTAGCAACTCCATTATTTGAATAACCAAAATACTTTCTAATGGCTGCTTGAGGAGTCTTTAATTCATACGCTGCTGTTTGGACTTAATCCATTCAGAAATTAAAACAGTGTAGGTCACCTTTGAAAAGGAGAAGGCTGCAAAAATATCCAGTTTTACACACACAAAGCATATGTGATGAGACATTTACTTTGAGTTGGTTTTAAAGCGCTGTAACATACTTGATGTGACGCAGTACTCCTACCATATTTAAGCAATGTTCATCTCTGTCGTAAATCCTCTGGCAGAAATAAGTCCTGTTCAACACTCTATTCTTAGATTTTTGTCAGGGTTTTTTCCCTCATTTTTCTCATTAGACTGACATGTTTTCATAGTCACAGGGGCCAGTTTTGCTCCTACTGATAGAAAGTAAATGCTTTTGCTAATGACTCCTGTGAACGTGGAGGGCAGCCCCGGCCCTCCACTCCTGCAGTGGAGCAGGTAGTGCTGCCGCTCTCAGCTCACAGGCAGCGTTCAAGCAAACCTGGGGGCTCAGGGTGCCTCCCCAGGAACCCCAGGAATACGCTGATGGCATGCTGACAGGCTTCTGAAAACGGTATTATCTTCAGAAAATTGGTAAGGGGCAGAAGCGAATACTGGATATAAAGAAACAAAAAAAAGCAAAAGAGAGAGATGCTAAAATGTTCACATCTCTGCTTCTAGCACAGTGACCTTCACTGTGGAGCTTCTGCCTCAGAGTAGCTCATAACAACAGGCTGGCAACTGCCAGCCTGATTGCCTTTAAAATGTCACTGGTTTAACATCATATCAAGAGGTATAATTGCATTTTTCCTTCCTCCTCCCCACGCCCCGAATTCCAGTCCTGATAAGGCCCAAACCAAACTGACAGTGTATTTGTGTTCCCATAAGAAGTTTGTAAAAGGTCATAAAAGCTGCAAGTTCAAAGGACTGGATTGTTTTCAATATACATGATGACTTTCCTATTTCCCATCTGGAAGCAGTAGGCTGCACTACCTTGAAGTTATTCCAGGATCCAGGTGATAAGCAGAAGTCTAGCACAGTGTTTGAGAAAGAACTGATTGGTCTTACATTAGGAAATTCAGGCTGAAAACTGTCAGACTGTGCTTTCTCTTTGGTTTATTCATCCTTACTCTGGACGAGTGACATTTCCACCAAAAAGCTTTATTTTACTTTCCATGAAACTGATTAAGGTAGAAAGCATGTTTCTGCATTCTGGCTAGGCACAGTTCTCACTTTTATGCAGCAAATGCATTTTTAATTGCCTTTAGTTTCTACTTTATCTAGCTTTCTTATCTGATATTCTTTGTTAAATGATCTAACGG